GCATATTTAAAAACAGTCACCGTAAGTCCTGTACCTATGTCCCTAGGCTTCCAAGGACCTTATAGTTAGGGCCCTGGACCCCTTAAGGACCCAATTTCAATAACAAGGTCCCTGGAAGCCTAGGGTATGGCAGTGGCTGATAGGTGCCAAGAAACGTTCAGAGTACAGCTGAGTTGGGAGCCCTTGGGTTTAAGCTCCCTGCGCAACCCAGAACCTTCAGCAACAAACAAACTGGTAGAACCGTGTTAAACGCCAGTGTACACTCAAGGGTCAGGGGCCACAGACCATCCCAGCAAAAAGAGGCACTTGGGGATCCCCTACCGCTCTCAGGGTTCAGGGCTTACAGCGTTGAAGATGTTTTGGCTACATGTGCGGTCGCCCAGTGATGATGGCCTCGCCCACTGGGTCATCGGGCGGGGCCTAACATAACCTAAACTCAAAGTCTTAAACACTAAGCCCTAAACTCTAAAACCCTAAACTCTAAAACCCTTGACTTCCTGCACCCGAACTCGTGGAATGCACTGTGAACACCAAACAGCTGTCTTAGGTCCTTGCTTAAAGATACCACAGTGAAGAAAGTACATGTTCTAATTACCGTATTTGTAGCATATGCAAGTTATACATACATACATACATACATACATACATACATACATGATTACATACATACAAACATACATACATCCATACATACACACAAACACACACACACACATATATATATATATATATATATATATACATATATATATATATATGTATGTATGTATATACACGCATAAGCACCAACATATCCCTACTAAATGTCAATTTCCTGCCCAAATCGAGATCGGGGTTCGAGAATACTTTCTCGGTGCTGGTTACCAGAACCTAACTCTTTGCAGCGTCTTTCACCTTTTCGCAGGATCCCTCCGACCCAACAGTTTGTGTTGCTTTGAAGTAGAAAGAACATATGCTCACAAGTTTTAAAGGGTTCGGGCTTGGCGTTTTGGTGTGAGGCTTTGGGCTTTGACTCGCATTAACCGACACCCCAAAGGCCGGGTCCCCAGAAGATTGCGCGCCCTCAGGTATTGGGCCATCGACAGTGGCGCATTGAACTGCGCCAGAGCGATTATCGAGGCTGCGGTGGATCCATCGTGCTTACATGCGGGCCTGAAACTCCGATCCGTCAACAAACACATCCGGTTGTGGGTCTAGCTTTGGGGATCGCTGCCGCTGGGCGCATGTCTCAATCATGTGGAATCATGATATCGGGTTCGTGGCTCCAGGCTCAGTCAAGGGTAAAGGCCGCGACACGAAGCAGGGCGAAAGACATGGTCTTTGGTTTCGTGGCTTTCTGCGGTCCAGCATTCAAACAGTAATTAGTAGCTTTTCCGAGTTTGAAGTTTTCTGATCGAGTGTAGCACGGCCGTTTCCTGAAGTTTGCCGCTTACTTGTACAAGCCAGGAGCTTTCCTTCATCCACGATACCCCGTTCTGTTGTGTTGTCAATAAAGTCCAAAACTCATAGGTCCCAACTCCGTAGCAGTTTCAATTGTTTGGTTATGCGCAGCCACATGCGCAGTTGGGTGATCGTTGCGCTGCACGAAGCTTTGCGTCGAAAGCCTAAAGCCTTACCTTGAACCGCGTGCCGGACCAGTTTTCTGTTCACTGTTAGAGGCTTCAGGTGACGGGGCATGCTAGCGTGTGGAGCAGCTGGCGCATGATAATGCAACAGGCCTAGAGACCTGTCGCACACATTGCTGAGGGATGTAACAAGCACGTAAGACTAAACCTTTGAGCCCCCCCTCCCCCGCTCCAAAACAAGAAGCGGACACATTTGTTTGGTTTTTGGGCATGTACCAAAGCGATCAGAATAAGCGAGGCCTACAACTATCGATTGTGATTCCTGGTTTGGTAACTCTCAGTAAGCTTCCTAAGACACGACTCCAGACTTCACTCTTCAATGTGGTCCCGTTTTGGGGGTCAACAAACGCAGACAAGCAGACAAGGAAACCACAAAGAGAAGCGACATTGGAGAGTCTAGGTGGAGACTTAAAAGTTCCGGCGTCGGAGGGTTTAGGGGTTCGGGTGCAGGACTTGTTGACCATCCGTGCCGACCGCGATGTGTACTACTATGGCTGTGATGCATTGTCCCTCGGACGATAATATAGAGGTCTAGGCAACCTGTCTACTTATATATAACATGTATATATATATATATATGTATGTTAAAAACATGCCCCGAACCATTATTCTGGTTGTTAAGATCCCTCTGCTAGATGCTCGGTTAGCTATTGGAAAAACCGATGGCATCTCGGTGCACTGCGGTTCTCAAACAAGGTTCAGGGCTGAGGGGTTTCGGGATTTTGGGGTGGGAGAGGCGGCGGTGCATTTACACTGCAAGCAGATGGCTCCCGGCCTGTTGCAAAGTGAACAAGCACGTGGTGTTAGGGGTGTGTATGCCGCACCCGACATTCCATGCTTCAACCCAGATAGCTAGAGTCGAGTCCGAGTAGCAGGTCAGGTTTGTGTCTGATGCTTTAGTCCTCCATCGAGCCTACTTGATCTAGAGCTTCGAGGATTCCTCATAAACCCTTAATGCAGGATGTGTCCAGAAGCCAGAAGTCGGGTCCTAGACCTTGGCAGTTTAGGAGTTTAGGGTGTAGGATCGCTAAGTTAAACTACAAGCAGTTTTGTCCTCGTTTTGAGACCCTTGCGCAGCACTAGCACATGCGACCGCAAATCCTTTCCCATTGATCTAGGTCTTACACTTAAACAGAGAGGAAACGGCAAGTCAATGTGCCAAGCAGAGGTTCACCCGCCATCCGGAGATTGTGCACCGCATGTGCACCAGCAGCTTTGCAGAAGAGACACTACAATAAGCAATAACTAGCATCATAAAAGAGTAACTAGAATCGATTTACATAGTATATCGGCGAGGCAGTTGCGATATTCTCGGGGTTTACAATATTATCAGAGTTTTTCCTCTTTTTAAGCTACAGCGCAAGGACCTTGTCCGCAAGCAAACCCCGTACACACACTGACCGAGACTTAAACATACCAACATATGATGACGAGGCAAACAATGACACGCGCAGCTTCTTCGGGGTTGGGCTATCGTAGTCCGGGCGGGCTATGGGGTGTGGGATTGAGGCATGGGAGGTAAGGTTATGGCGGCCTATATAGGCCCTGAACAAGTGGGGAGTCGGCGAAAGCCAGAACACCCGACCCTAAACCCCTTTAAGTTATAAATAAGTTATAAACCCGTAGTTAAGCCCGTGCACAGGCAAAACCCCACTGGAACTCCTTAGCTAGTCGACGAACCCTTCCAGAGGATTTAATCTACAACCCCGTATTAAAACCCATCGTTCATGATCCCAGCTAAGGCGCGCCAAGTCTCCTGCTGCCGCTTTTCGATGGTCTGGTCTGGCGCTCGCGACTCGCCAAAGACGGCACTCGTCGCGTCAACCTCTACATCAAGCACCTGGTGCAGGAGCAACTTTGTGCGGTTTAGGGATGTTTAGCATGTAGGCATCAAGCACTGGGGATAGCAAATCTGTGTGACAAGACACGAAAGTTGACTGCGAAATTGTAATTTCTTTTGTTCTTGAACCCAGTTAACAGGCACAATGCGCCAAGACATTCAGAATCCTGCGTTTCAGAGTCACCATCACGATAACAATACTGTGGCACAATACTAACTAACAAGTAAGTAACACTCGGTAACATGTGCCAGGAGCTATGAGTACAGTCAAGAACGAACTATGGTAAACTGCACCAACTATCTAATGTAGACCTCTGGTTCATAACCTTCCTTGCCTTTCAGGCCTCATCATCATCTCTGTCATCGTCCCCTTTAACCGTTAACCCCTGAACCCTATAACCCTGCCAAAGAGCATGCGCCAATGTGCTTCGACGTAACAGTAACCTCAGGCTTTCCCAGTTGCGAGTGCTGAAACCCTATTTCCTGAAGCCCTAAACTCCTACGTACATTGATAAGTGCATATTGATAAACCCCCAATTAAGCCCTATACAGCCCTAAACACCTAAACCCTATAGCCCTAAACCGAGAGATTACAGTAACTTCAAACCCTAAACCCTAAACCCTATAGCCCTAAACCCCAGATTAACTTCTTTCGCCTTGGGCCCCCTTGAGGACGCCAAGGGCTCCTTCAGCCCGACTCTCCAGTGGCTGGTCCAGTACAAGGACCCGAAGGCGAGGAGCTTTGGGTGCTAGCTTTTAGGGTTCTCGCGGTTTAGGGTTTAGGGGTTTAGGATTTAGGGTTTGGGGTTGGTTTAGGGCACTCGGGCTTTGTGTTGTGAGGGCTCAGGGTTTCGGATTGCTTTCTGAGTGTTCCTCGAAGTTGAAGGTCGCATAAAGGGGAAGAGAAGACCTAGCATAAGATCTCAAAGCTTTATTGCTGCCTTCATAGAGATCAGCGAGTGCCTTTTTTCCTTCGAACACAGCACTACGCTGGCTGCAGAGACCCACCAGTATACCGGAAATACATCGTAAAGGTATAGACCCTAAACCCCTAAATCCCTAAACCCTAAACCACCCTAAATCCCTAAACCCTAAATCCCTAAATCCCTAAACCCTAAAAAAACAGACATGCATGCGTTGTCAGTCAGTGCTTGAAGCCCTTCGGGGCTTCGTTTGCAGCTCAGGTTCTGGTTTCGGTCAGGGAACCATAAAGCCGTAATATCGGGGCCTTAATCATTAGAATAGGGTTTGGGGTGTCTTATACTATTGCTATAATAAGGAGCACCCAAAAACCCTATTCTAATTATTAAGGCCCTACATTAATTTGAGCAAGCTGTCCTAGCAATGGAACAGCTTAAAGTGCACTGACGGGCTGTGGGTTCTGCTTCCATTGAGATGCAACTAGGTTGAGGGCTGAGGAGCAGGGCGCTGACGGATTTCGAGCTACATCAGCGCATCCTAGACCCTATTTTTGCGGCCCCAAGAAAGCTCAAGAAGACTACCGCGGACAGTAGCGGCATAACCATCGTGCTAAGGTCAGACTGACAAGAACTTCATTAATGACCCTCGCCGTTTTCGAAACCATTGTGATGATGGCAGAAGTGTTCATACTTGTACATATATGTACGCACGTGTACGTACACATAATTTCAGAGACAGCACATTCCAGGGTCAAGCCACAAGACCCCAGCATCAAAGTCTTGCTTACGGTGCAACTGTGAGGCCCGAAAAGCAGTGGTTCCTTTTGTATATACCAGGTCCTGATCCTTTTCCAAGGATCCCTCTATTTTGTGTTCGTTCTAGGGTCTCCCCATCTGAATCTCAACCCTAGAAGCTGAAGCCTGCCAAGATCATGAGCCACATCGTTGTGGCTCTGACGACGGACCTGATTTGGAGTCGGTTCGCCGCGCCACTCGTCAATAAAACCGCAATACTTCCTGAGGAGGACGACCCACGAGACATAGCCACGCAGTTTTGAAGCTAATCTCCCCACTCACGGAGATGTTGCCTCAACTGTGGCAGCGTTCAACCATACAGTACCCTCTACCCTCAATGCATTTCGGAGCAACAGAGAAGAGACGATGCTGGATGTTAAGAGTCTCGGGATGGCCACAGCTTGCAAGCTTCAGTTTGCAGGGTTCTGTTCTTACCTAAAGTCTCCATTGTAGTTCCTATTTGGGGATACCTTATAAAATCCTTAATATATAATTGGTTAAACCAAAAAAAGGAACTACAATGGAGACTAGAGGTACTCCTGGAATCCAAGCTCGATGCTCCCCGAACCTTCCAACACAAAATCAGATCTCCCCAAACTCGAAATCCTAGTCCTAGATACTCAATTCGACTCCCTCAACCGTAGCCGTAGCCCCTGCTGACCGTACTTAAAATGCGAACCCGAAACACTATCATCCTTAAGACCCGCTAGATGCAGCACACGAAACAACAGCCGTGGGTTTAAGGTTTAGGGTAGCGGGCATGGTCGTAAGCCACAAAAAGAACTGAGAGCAAAAAAAATCACAAAAGGGGCAGGTTAGGGTTGCGCAGGGTACATCCGAAAGCTCCCTAAACTGCTGAGCCCAGGTTCCAGTTCCTTTTTGGCACCCCGGCCCTCCGGGGTTTGAGGTTGAGTCTTTTGGGATGTCGCATTCAGGGATCAGGTTTTCGGGTTTTGGGTTTTTCGAGTTCAGGGTTGTCGTAGTCTAGCGGATCTGGCATTCAATTTTGTGGTTTGAAGGTGCAGATTGGTTCATGGTCGTCGTCCATGTTTTTCCAGGCTTGCACACAGGCTGCTGGCATTGACATGGCAGGGGTCATGATGATTTGTAGATTCGTAATCAAGTCCTCTTGTAGTTGCAGTTTTCATAAATAATTAGCAAACCTATACCTTCCCAAAGCCCTGTTCACATGATCAAGGCCCTAATATTCCTCTTGTATAGTCCTCATGATTTTCGGGAACAAGTCAGGATTTCTGGGGAGGTGCTACGATTTAGGGTTTTGGGGTTTGGGGGATTTAGGGTTTTGGGGTCTAAGTTTTTGGGCTGTGGGGTTTGGGGTTGAGGCTTCGGGCCACGCCGTCATACTCATACGGGCCGGCAGTTGTGGGATCTGCTAGGTTTCTCTATGCTAGCAGACAGTAAATGGTCTGGAGCAGCCTGAATCCCACAACTTTTGTGCAATCTTCTAACAGGCTTGCCCCTGCCCTCGGCCCCAAACCCTCCCCCTGAAACCCTAAGCCACGATGCGAAACCCTCAGGACGATGCTACTTTCTCATGACGCTTTGCCTGTTCTTCGTGAGCCAGTCCTTGATGAAAGGAAAGGACGATGCTGTAGAGACACTTGAGGCACTCGGCTTCGGGGCTTCACTGGCTACTACTAACTACTACTGCTACCACTAACTACTACTGCTACTGCTACTCCTACTCCTACTCCTACTCCTACTCCTACTACTACTGCTACTACTACTACTACTACTACTACTACCACTACTACTGCTATCCCTACCGCTACTGCTGCTGCTTACTGGTGTTTTTGGAGAGCAGGTAGGACATTCAAGTTTCGGAATCATTGCATGTCCAGCACATTTACATTTGGGAATCGGTGTCGTGAAAGCTCACGGGTTTACAGGAGAAGAGTTTTGGCACTGAGGTGGAGTCGGCAATTTAGTTGTCGCTGTTGGGCACTGAGGGTCGAATGATAGCGGTTTTGTTGGAAAAGGGAAAGGCCAGGGACCAGCGGTGTAAGAATAGGGAGCCTTTAGCCGCAACCTCTCGCCGCTGTATCCCAGACCTCACACGCAAGCAATGGACATCACGTTCGAGAACCCCGCAAGGCACAAGAATCCAAAGCAGCGACCCGAATTCCGTCGAGCCTTTGTACATGAGCTGTCGGCAAGGCTCTATATGCACTTGAAGCCGCTTGAAGCCCTTTCCAATTTTCATCTGCAGCCCGAAATCCCTGACATTTCCCCGTATGAACGTAATCTGCGAGCGGATCCACATAATCGAATCGCTGGAGGTGAACGTGGCTCGTTTTGCACTGCGGCTTTGGCTGTGCCTTGCCGTCTTGAGCTATTTTTTCCGGGACTGCTTGCTACCTACACTTGTGATTTGCTAACTTTCAGGTTGCCGTCCTACAACAATAATGAAGAACATGTCACGTGATGAAAACTGCTTACCTGGTGCTTCCAGGCTTACTTGCAGGGTGGCACAAGCAGAATCTGAAGCCAAGTGCTATTCTTGGGGGTCGGAATGAGTGGTAAGTTGTATTTTCAGGCATGAATCGCACCGCCTTCAGACGCAGGGCCGTGTGCTGTAGCGCCGTATCTACAGGATGCTGTCTCGAGTCTACGGTCTGAATTTCTAGGGTTCATACTGAGGATCATGGTTTCGGGCTTGTGGGGCTTCCGGTTCTACCATACTGGGAGTGTCAGACAGTATGGGATCCGAAGAGACAGCCTTCAATCAATGGTCAGTTTAAGTAAGAGGGGGGTCTGTGCACACCTGCAGCTCCAGGCCGGCTTCTCTAAATCAGGTGCCCTCTTAAGGGTCCTGTTATAAGGATGCCGTACTATTTTGGGGGACCGAAAAAAGAGACCTTATAATTTTGAAACAACCATGAAATTGTTCAGAGCCATGGGGAGAGGAGGAAAGAGAAGGCCCCGAAGCCCTGGGTCCCAAAGCTGTCGACGCGAGGGGTTTTCGACTGCTTTGCTAGCTTTGCGACTTGCGCAAAAACGACATCCGAGTTCCAAGGGATGCCGTAGGAACTCGAGAGCGTTGACAGCATCCATCAGCTCTTGCTCGTTGCGCAGTTTAAGTTGCAATTATGCGTACTGTAACATGTACTCTTCCTCTCGCTCTCTCTCTCTCTCTGTCTCTCTCTCCGTCTGTGTAGACTATAGTAATAAAGACTGTGGGTCTGGAGTTAAGCGTGAAGCAATCATTATGCCAAGATGTCGATGCATTGCAAGATGGTTACTGCTTACCTGTTCCCGTGTATGTGTATACACACACGAAGACATAAGGACTGACTTGTTGAATGTACATGTTCAAAATGGAAATATCAACAAATAAGTAAATAAATAAGTAGTGGAATCTCTCTATAGATATGTGTGTGTACGTGTGTATATATATATATATTATATGTAGATTCCGGACTGTTCCGAGGTACATTCCGAGCTTGTCCGGCCTGTTCTACAGCCTGGTCAAGCTCTCCGGCACCGGTTTCGGGGTTGAGGTGATCCCTAGCCATACAAGTGCCGAAATCCAACGCAACAAAGCCAAGAGTTAGGGGTTTAGGGTTCAGGATGATTTGGAAATGGTTTTGAGGGTATTTGGCAACCTTTGCCTTTGAGGTTCGATCAGGTTTACGTTGTTACCTTCGGCGCAAGCTTCAGATTTATTCCAGAACCGTTGGGGGTGTTTTAAGGTTTACGTTTTTGTGCTAGCTGTCAGGGGTTCAGGTAAGCGTTATTTGGCCCTCTTAAGGTCAGGTTGGTAAGGTTATCGAACCCCCAAGTCGAAACCCTGGCGTAGCGTGGGGCTGTTTTGTGGTCTTCTGGCAACTGGATGTCACAACCACGAAATACATGGTTTCTTCTGTCATCCTATATCCGTTCCGTACCCCTGGAGTTTTACACCAACGAATGTCTTCAGCCAACCCAAACCAGTTGCTTCCAGGAGTCAGGGGTAGCATCCAGAGCATTTCCGAAGTGTAACCACACTGTCTTTGAACCTGAAAGGGTTCCGTCGAATCGGGTTGGTGAACAGAGACTCACAAAATCACCCCGTCCGAGCATCCGAATTTTGGGCTCGGGGAAGTTCGGGGTACCTGGGTTTACGGCTTGAGGCAGCTGGCCGGCACCACAGTCCGTGCTGAGAAGGGTACTTAAAGGATCATGGGACTTAGTAAGTAGGGTTATAACTAAGGTAACTCTACTTATAACCCCAATTAGGGGACTTATAACCTTACTTACTAAGTCCCATGATCCTCCAAGTAGTTAGGCTATGTCCATGTCCCGCCGCGACTCTTCGAACCAAAGCTGCTCTTAGCTGCCCAGGGATATCGTCACTGACTTTGCCTGGGGCCGCATGAACAGGACGGGCTCCTGTCCTAGGAATCTGGTCGGGCATGTCCATGCCGAAGCCTGCGAATGGTTTAGGGTTTAGGGTTTAGGGTTCCATTGTCTGCGCCAGCCAAACCCCAGAACAGGGTTCCTGTGTGTTGGCTGCGGCTGACAAGCACTGGGTTGTGTTGAGTGCAGGGGCATCAATGCTTGCTTTTGTCGACTTCGATGGGAGACACCCCGATGGACTCGGGTGTAGCCGATATACTGTTAGATATGTATTATACATATATATATATATATATACACACACAGCCACATATGTGTAGATCCATACATACATATGTATACGGTATGTTTATACACATACTCATAAACGTCTGTGTAATTACGTCTCACGCACATGAACTTGGGTTTGCAAAAGTCTAGATGCGGTGGCAGACTCTCCTCGCGTGAGGCAGGGTTATCCTTCTCTTCCATCCATCTTTGCCTGCTTCCATCCATCTGTGCCTGTATCGACTTGGGATCGGGATCTTGTTCTCATCTTCATGTTTTTCCCATTATATAGGTATTCCAACAAAGGCTACCCGGCTACCCATAGCCTGAGCTTGTATATTTCTCATAATGGTAAAACTGAGCTCGAGTCCTGCTGCAAGACAGGACGGGGTGCGTTCCGATCCCAAAGACTCTGACCAGTGCCAAGCAGGCTTCGTCAGACTTAGGGCTGAAACATTTGGGGGTTTCCGAATATAAGGGACCCTAATATAGTAGCCTAAATAGTAGGATCCCTATAATAAGGACCCCAACATAAGGTACCCCTTGTTTTCGGAAACTCCCATTGAGGATTTAGGGTTTCGCTTCTCCTTCGGCTGTCCCAGCACTCTTCGGGTGTTCTGGTCATGAGGTGGTCGGACCCCGAAAAGACAAGCCTGTCTCAACTATGAGTGCCGTTCCTGTGTTGGATCCCTAAGCCCTATAACCCCTCATCCGTAATCCCTGAATCCTAAACTAAACCTCTACCCCTAAACCCTAAATCTTAAGGATCGAATATAGAAGCCCAAACAGTTACATTCCTTAGGGTCCCTTGAAAAAGGAGCCCAAATCCCCTACTCTCATCATTAAGGCCCCTACATGAAGTCGTTCAGGTCTCACTTCTGGCTGCTTTGTCGGTGCTTTTCAGGTCAAGAGTCGGCTGCTTGCAACGATGCTTTAGGGACCAGTGGGCAAAGGGTTTAGGGTGTAAGGTTCTCAGGGTTTAGGTTTCTAAGCAGGAGCTTGGACAAAAGACTCTGGGCTTTTCGGTCTGGTGACTCGGGCTTTAGCGCAGGGATCTGGCCGGAGGCCTCGAGCTTGCGGGTTGTGGTTTGTTGCAGGATGTGCAGAGGCAGGTTAGGGCCGGGTTTAGGCTATTGATTGAGTGGCACCAGGTTCAGGCTCTTGGGGTGTGGGGTTCCGGGGCGTGCAATTGCTTCCTAGGTTTCCGGTTGCGACCTCTTAGACATCAATGCTTCAGCCTACCCCCCTCCCCCCGGCCCAAAAGCCCTCAGCCTTACGTCTCAATCTCTCTTTCGCAGCAGGTGGGTCGTGTCATGCTGACCTTCGTCTTGATCGGCATGTTGCTTGGCTCTGTCTCACAACAACCAACGGGAGTTGGCGTTCTTGGCATATCGAAGCCCTGTGAAGCTCAACACCGCGAAGCCCCTACACCCAGAGAGAGCCACAATCTTCGTTGGAGTTGGATGTTTTGCAGACACAGAGAGAGAGAGAGAGAGAGAGAGAAATGGAGGATGATCGCCCACACTCCAAACACAGGTCTCACCTCCGACTGGCCACGCACCATTAACCTCGCCTGGCATGTCCGAGAGTGAGGCCGAAGCCCAGCGAGGCTGTAACTAAGCGCCAGAGACTGGCACCGGAAAGCATCGAGCAAGAAAACCCCCCGTTACCTAGTTACTACAAGTCTTTCCAAGATGTGCTCAGCCGTTTCTGCTCATGGGTCGTTCTCTAAATTAGGGCCCCATTTAGTTCCCCAATATAGTACGGCACCCTTATAAACATGACCCTACAAGGGGACCCTAATTTAGAGAACTACCCTCATGTTTGAAGAATTGTAGATGGTGCCCGATGGAACCAGGAAGCAAGCCAGCAACCGGGAGCCGGCAACAACAGCGACAATGGCCGTTGGCGGGCATGTGCAGTCCAGGCAAACCACATACTACAAGGGCTTCAATAATTGCCTATATTATTTTGGGGGTTCCTTATTACAATTACAGTATAATACACCCCAAAACCCTATTCTAATTGTTAAGGCCCCTATATTACCCCAAGATCCACCAACACGCCCATCCTGCTGAGATCCCAGGTTTGTTTTCGAACCAATCCTTTGGTGCTCCTCCACGCATCTTGGCTAAACGACACCTGTTTGGTTGCGGCTTCAAAAAAGATAGACTCCAAACCCTGCGTGCTTAATGCCAAGAGCAATGCACCTCAGCTCCGACCTGACTCACATGCGCTCAGTAGTATGGTCTATAACACATTATGACCCCTTGATTACTTACATGATATTTTAATCGCAGTATGACAGAAGTTGAACGGAACCACAGGTACGACTTGACACTTAAGGGAGCCAGGCCTACGCTCCATTATGTCTACATATCATGGGTACTCTGGTGAGCGCTGGCATGGTATGCGGTTGCCTTAACCCGAAACCCTACAACTCTAGCAAGTTCAAGCGACCATGGCCTCCTGTTGGAGTCCGGAGGTGAGCCCAGCTTTGGAGAGAACTTTTGCATTCCAGAAATTGAGACCCCAATCTGCACCAACAAGGGAACTCAGCTTGACTCTAATTGGAACCAACATTACTACCTAAGCCAGACTTCGGGGAGCCACTCAGTGCCACTCAGGTGGATGAACAGCAACACGGTTATGATCTTTTCCACCCAGTGCGGCGCAGACGAGGCAAGGAGGATTTAGACGTGTCGGCTTATCTACAGAATCTACAGCCCCGGATGAGGCTTGCAAGGCCCCGCTCTACACCCCAAACCCTCCAATTTTGAACGAACATCGCTTTGTTTCTTGAGATTTGAAGGACTTGGGGTTTAGGCTCTTTGAAAGGCTTAGGGTTTAAGGCGCTCGGGTTTCTTGGGGTTGGACGACGTAAATGCTATGAAATACTATTGATGTTGGGCTCTGGCGGCTCTCACCACACACACAGGCAGCAATCGGGTCGTACCTTCTGCAGGGCAAGATTTCATGAAGTTGAAGGCTGAGACGGAAGGCAGTGTGAGGTCTTGAGAAAAGCGTTTGCACGGTTCCACTAGAAACCGGAAATCCAGCATGCCTCATAAATGGCGTGTAACTGATCGTGATCCCTTCGACGTCGTTGGGGCTATTCCTATTTTCAAAGCCTAAATCTAAAGCAGTACACTCAAAACCCTAGACCCTAAACCCGCCAACATACAAGCCTAAATCTAAAGCAGTACACTCAAAACCCTAGACCCTAAACCCGCCAACATACAAGTTGAGCTCCCATGCCCTGTAGGTGTCCCAGATCTACTCGGCCTTCTCTGCCACTGGCATGGCAGCTTTGCTCTGACGGGTTTTGGATGATAGGGTTCAGGGCCCAAGCAACGGTGAGGCGTGCACCTGGGAGGCACTTCAGAGAGCCCTGGTTGAAAAAGGGTTCAAGGCGGCAGGCAGGGAGGGAGGTAGGTAGGTAGGTCTGTAGGCAAGGGAGGAAGGTAGTGGGTACTTGGGTACTGGGTACTAGTTATGAGTTCCTCGGCACGAGGACTGGGTACGCGGTACTAAGTAGTAGTAGGCAGTGAGGTAGAGGTAGGGTAGTGGCATCTGTAGTAGTTGTAGTAGCAGCAGTAGAAGCAGTAGTAGTAGCAGTCGTAGTCGTAGTCACAGCCGCAGTCGCAGTCGTAGTCGTAGTAGTAGTCGTAGTGGTAGTCGTAGTGGTAGTCGCAGTCGTAATTGTCGTGGTCGTGGTAGTGGTAGCAGCAGCAGCAGCAGCAGCCGTCGTTTTCGTCGTCGTCGCCGTCGTCGTGGTGATAGTGATGCTGGTGAGCATTGCCATTGTTGTTGTTGTTGTTGTCGCCGTTGAGGTGCTGTTCTGGCTGCTCCTCACTGACTTCACCGTCTTCTCCATGCGGCTGTCAGCGTTTTCACTGGTGTGTGCTTGGGTCGTCGGAGAGGTGCAGCCACGATCTTGGGCTTGTGTGTAGGAAAGTTTGGCCCGAGGGAGCCTGGCGTCCTTGCCTTAGGGCCTTAGGGGTTATAACTCTGCAATATCGCAATCGAGAGACTTCGAGAAAAAAGACAGGGCTTTTGCATGCGGTCCGTCAGACCCTTCCCTGGGAAGTCGGGCGCTTAACCTCCCTCATTGGCAGGATTTAGGGTTCCCAATGTTCGTTTATTTTCAGAAGTTTGCGGTTTTGGGGGTGTCTTTCGTGCTGGACCGAAGGCAGCAGGCGCTCATACAGGCCGCACATGCCATGTGTAAGCCGGCAGTCTCTCTTGATCTACCAAACTGCATTCGGGGCTTGTTCTGCGTCACCAACCTTGTAAACCTTGTATAAAAAACATATAAAGCCTACTTCTGGTTACCTCGACACTGGGAACTGGCAATCGCCGCAACAGACCCATCCGAAGTAGTTGCACAGAACAAAACTTCTTTGAGCCCCAGGTTGCAAACCACATAGCAGTTCCAACGGCACCTGCACTCGCACCATAACTGCCCTGAGTGCTTCAGCATGGTACTTAACATTCTGCAAAAGTTTGAGTTTAGGATGTCCCTTACTGGATCCCTTCTCGAGAAAGTGCCAATGGGAAGCAGGTGCTTCTCTTCTTCCTGGCGCTGCTGTTCCTGGTACTGTTTCTTGGCAGACAAAAGCTGGCTGGCTCCGGATTTAGGCAGTGCACATCTCCAACTTTCTTGGAGTTTCGGTAAGGCCAAAGCGCTAGTGGGGTTGAAGGTGCGCAGTATCTTGACCCACCACCCCAGCGACAGCATAATATAGGGGCCTTAATAATTAGAATAGGTTTCTGGGGTATTCAATCATGAAGTCTAATAGAGAACCCCCCAAACCTTATTCTAATCGCTAAGACCTCTACATTAAGTTCTGCTTCGGGTCAGAGGGCTCAAAGGGTCTGGTTTAGGGTTGGAGTTTTAGGGTAGCCTACGGCAGTTCCGGGCGAGAGAAGCCTGCTGCAAAAAGGGTAGCCTACATTTTAAGGTATAAAAGCCGATGTTTAATCCTAAGTTCTGTGAGTCCGAGAGACCTTAACCCCTCAGCTGGAGCTCCAGCCCAACTTCGTGTCACAAGAGGACCTTCGCGACAGCTTTGAGTGCCATCCGAAGCGATTTGAAGGAGCGGCGACTTGCGTGTATAGTGCGGGTGGAGTGTTTAGGGCTTGCAGTTTGCATGGTAACTGCTATAGGGCGGAATAGTCAGTGACATTCTCCCGCGCAGCAGTCGCTTATGGTCCCTAAAACTGCGATATTAGGATCATGAATATGTTCCAACAGTGAAAGCTTATTCTAACATGACTTGAGGCTGGAGTTTGAGCTGAGCTTCGTTGTTTTGTGGCCACAGGAGTACAACGATGTGGTGACATGGATCGGTGTTCTCTTTCAGGTATCGCTGGGCCTCGCGTCTGCATCGAGTTAAGGTTTCATTTATGGGGTGTCGGGGGGCTTGATTCTCATGGAACCACAATTGCATTCATACAATTTTCGTGAAGCAGGAGTGCGGATTCACAACTTGACTCGAGATGCAAGGAACCGATACTACAGGAAGACCCCGAACCCGAACATTGATAAACCTCAACAAAACCACACATTGCCAACGCTCAACTCACCTTGTCTCCTGAATGCATGGGGAAGAAGCGTACTTGCGGAGCACAGTGGGATGATTGAGGATGGTGGGTACTCTTGATGTTCAGAAGTGTTTGCGTTTCTTCTTGCCCATACACATGAACGTAAATTTCATGGTGATATTGGAAAGTGCGCTCGCGCATGTCATGCATGCCATCCACTTTGGCGGTTTTCGGGGCCTTGGATCGCGGAGCCCTGAAATCGTAAATCCCAAGCGCGGAATCGAAAGCTTTTTCATCCTCATTACCGTTGTGGGCTTTGGAAGTCTAGTGTAGGCAAAACCGGGGTCGTATCTGATGCGTGTCACGTCATCTTCCCGAGGCATATTTCCGGAATCGGAGTTTGCTGTCATCAAGGAGATCATGGAATCTTCATTTCTCCTGTCGGTTTGAGCTTCAAGTCTCTCCAAAAACCTGAATATGTAATTCTACTGTAATTGTACTTAGCAACCCGTTCAAGTCCTTCCGTGTTTTTTTGTACGATATGTTATACGTTATTTTAATATAACCCCCAAACTTCAGTCGAATCGAAGTATCAGAGCCTCCGTAGCAGACCTAAAGCTAGGCCCATACCGCGAGGTTGAGGGTTTCTTATGGTCTCCGTCGTAGCTACTCTGTTTGACGACCTTGTAGGCTTCAAAATATACAGCTGGTTAAGCCACAACAAGAAGCTACAATGGAGTCTATAAATCTTGCCTGTGTTTGCTGCACTGGGCCCCGGGGTGGCCGTGTTCCATTCGGTACTTAGTCTGGATTCCGGCCTGGTTTTTGATGTCATGGCGAATTTGCTTGGTGGTAGAAGAAGTAAGCTCTATATGCCTCGCCTGGATTGTCCGAGTGTGAGTGCCGAAACCCCCAAACCTTCCCGCATCCTCAGCCCTCTGCCCCCCCTCCCGGCGCCGCCCGCACAAACTAATCTAAGCCGGAGCAGGACGAGCTGCCAAAATTCGTGAGCTTGTCAGCCTTCCTGGCGCTGGTCTCCATCTTCCTGCTGACTCTTCGTCCAAAACCAGTGGATTCAGGGCTTGGGCCCTGCAGGGCCGGTTTTTGGGGGGAGCTACAAGCACCCACTGAGGCCTGAAAGGCTGAGAGTCTCACCACACTCCCACAGGAAGCTCAACATCCAAGCGCCACCCCGGTCCAGACTCCCCCGGTTTGCGGTTTCAGGCCAGTCGGTAGATGTGGTCTGGAGGTTGAATTGGTGTTTTTGTTTTGGGAAGTTGTTGTGTTGCGATCACTTCATGCCTGACGCTACAGGAGTGTTTTGAAAGGTCAACCAAGACAGTCGATCCAAGCAACCCAGCCTACAACACAGAGCGCTCGGTAATCTAGCAACACTACAGCAACCCTGAGCCCAAAACCTTGACTGGCATCCTCTCCGCTGAGTGACTCCTCAGATCCTGGAATCCTAAGAACCCCGTGGAGGTCTTAGGGTTCGGGCTAGCAGTTTAGGGTTTGAGGTTGCGGCTAGCGCTTCCAGGGGACTGAGCTTACCCAAGAAGCTTGAAGCTTTTCTTATGGGCTTAGGATTTAGGGTGTACTTCCGTAGGCTCAGACATTCAGGCGATTGCACAAGCCCTGATGCAAAAAGCAGGGTTTATTCTTATTGCTGCACGAACACTTGCCAAGGGAGTTTTGAGCAAGCAACCTTTTCGTCCAGCGACAGACTTTGCACAGCCAAGTCCCTTGTGCAGGTCCCTGCATGCAGAACAGGCTATCCGGACCTATTTATGTTGAAAGTCGATTCAGAGAGGGCCAACATCAATCCAAAGACCACCGACTTTTCTCTTGACGAGGGGCAATAATCAATAGCCTAGCTCGGACCCTCAAGCATCAAACCCACCACAAAGGCCAACTCTCGGTGAACTCCATTCGGATTGGATCCGTAGCATGGTTTTCACAGCTCACATGCAAAAACGGATCCCGATGCCAAACGACCGGCAGTCAGGAGCCTCTTGGTGGCCCAGCTGACCGAATCCTACCGCACCATGTTTGCGGCCGCGCGGTGCAGTTGGGGAGCTTGAACCTTTCTAGATGGTCATACCTTGTGAACCTTGAGGATTGTTCGGGATTGGGGATTTGAGCTGTACCGTTTAGGGTTTGAGCTCGTCAGCATCGTACGGTGTTCGATGCGGGATTTTGAAATGCCCGCGGCAAGGATATCTCGCGACACAGTGGACGCTATGAACGTATAGCAGGTTTGTTATACCCTTCTGGTTCGGTATGGTAGGTACTGCAAAGTATAACAAGTCTTCCAGGTAGCGGCGCAAACACTGGTGACAGAGTATGCTACATACGTTTACACATGCATGCATGAATACACACATGCTTGCATGCATGCCTACATACATGTACACAAGCTTTCCCCCTATGTAAATTGCCCGCAACTTTATAACACCTAGCAACCTGCTTGCCCAGGACATGACAGGCTTCGCACGTCTCAACCGCGCCAGTATGGTGGTCTCTGTGCTTGCAGAGGCTGGGCAGGGGCAGCGAGCATTTCAGGGCGATTCAGAGCTTTCAGGGGTGTTTCGTTTAGGCTTGGGTTTGAAGGGCGTGCTGGATGTCTATGTGCTATGCTCGAAGCACTTGTCGGCTTGTCGGCGGGTGTGTATCTAAGGGTGCTGATGCTCAGTCGAGAGCAGGCCTTGAACCGTAAATCTGAACTTCGACTCTGCAGCCGCTGCTGCCCCGTGACATATCGCCGTCGAATTGTTCAGAAAACCCCAGATCTTGTCGCCAAGACTCGAGAACCCATAGCCATAAGACCATGTACACCCCGATCGGGGAGCTGCGACCCGCTTAGCATCAACGGAAGTCTCCAATCCACGGCCTCGGCCCTCTCCGTCCTAGCTTATAACATATATATATATATATATATATATATTTATACACACATAGGAGCCTTTACACTCTTATTACCAAGAGTATCTTTGGGATTCCTTATTGCTGTCTTGATAGTCTACCATACCCCAAAGCCCTTTGCTAATCATCATAATTAGGCCCCCTACAGTACTTCGGGCCCTTTAGCCCAAGGCTCTGCGGACCCTGGAATAGGCCCTAGGGTTTAGGGTTTAGGGTTCTAGGGACCCTAAACCCTGGACCCTAAACCCTAGAAGCATGTAGAAGCTTCAGATGGCGTATTGGCAAGCTTGGAGCTTGGCCCCCAGGCTCCATCTGTAGTACCATTATGTACGGAGGGTCCTAGAGCGTGGCACTATAACACGGATGGTCTTCCGGGACCTAAATCCCATAGTGGTAGAAAAAAAGACCCTTTTGGGAACCCGAAGCGATTCCAGAATGGTAGTATATGTGAAGCCTTTGAGGGTTTAGTGCAAATACGGGCTATGATTGCAGGTCGTGGTTTGGCTAGACCTGCAGCTCCTCAAACAAGCCCTCAAGCAAGCCTTACTACAAGCCCGACATCGCAGAGGAAATATTGCGTACCTACCTCAGCCACGAAACCTTAATCAGGGCCCTGCTGAACCCTGAACTCTAAACCCGTCTAACTTTTGAACCCTGAACGGTGAATCCTAGTCAATGCATTGTCGTATATTTTGGTAAATTATATCATATTAATGTACCTTATCGTTGATTTTCGCAGATTATAGAAGGCGATAGTTCAAACTCTTCTGGCAGTCGCGTCACGGGCGTTGGGCTTCCTTCCTCCGGACGCTAAACTTCGGAGAGCGCTTGGAGTTCAACGAAGGCAGCCTGGTGCATTCGGGTTTAGGGTTTCTTTAGGACTGCAGGGGTACTAGAGTCTAGGATTTAGGGGCATCTGCTTAAAGTTTGAGAGTTTAGGTTTCTAGGGATCACAAGGGAATTTCAATCCAAAAAAAGGTCTCACGGGCACAGAGCTCATGCCCCTAGTTGAGCAGAGCTCCGAAGCCACCAGCCGTAAGAATCCCTGCGAAACCTAAGGAATCTACTTTACTGCAGGGGCGTAGGCCGCTTTTAGAGTGCTTGTTTCTAGCAGATACTCTGCCCCTGCAAAGCCACCGCCCGAAACATCTTGTTCTGACTGTCATTTGCCCGGATCCCCCTCAATTGCAGGATTCGGGATCCAGGCTTTTGATTGTTCAGGGTTTTCAGGGTTTATAGGGTTTCCGGTTTCCGTAGGGTTTAGGGTTTTTCAGGGTTTCAGGGTTTAGGGTTTCCGGTTTCCGTAGGGTTTAGGGTTTTTTCAGGGTTTCAGAGTTTCAGGGTTTGAGTAGGGTTCCAGGGTTTGCTGCAAGGTGCACTTGCAAAGCATAAATGCCGCGGAGTCACGGGCTGATTGAAGTTTTCCAGGACGATACTGATACAAGACTATATTCTACTATGCCATACTTTACTAGAGTAGACACTGTGCACAGGCACAATACACTATACACTATGTACTATGTACTATATGCTGTTTGCTATTTGATTTTTTGCTTTCGTGATATGCTATATGTTATACGCTATATGCTATATGCCATTCTATGCTATAATATGGTAAAGTATATAAGCTTTCTAAGGCATGCACACACTGCTTAGGGTTGGCATAGCACAGTTTCCCCGAAGGCCCTCATTATCCGACTTCTCCATCCCTGGAAATTGAATCCTTTACAACTAGAGCCCAGGGTTTGCCACCGATGCAGCCAGTCATTTTACGGGATTTTGGGTTTGTGTTGTACTGTAGCTCTTGTGACTCATGGTGTTGGGATCTTGGGTTTTGCATCTTGGGTTTGGGTTTAGGTTCAGGGCCAAGCCTTTCCGGTTTCTTGTGTGTGGCTTCGAACGTCGAAGCCTCTTTGTCACCTTGGCTTTAGGGTTTAGGGGTTTAGGGTTTAGGTCCTAAAAGCTAGAGAGATCGATGAAATCATACTGTTAGAGGCAATTGCGAGAGACCTCGTTCAAAAAGGGCTTAGGACCTCACCTCAACACATGGGTGGTTGTCAAAATTATGGTCCCTTTTGGGGTCCTTATGATAATACGGCACCTAATATTTAGGGTACCCGAAAAGGGACCCTAATTTTGACATCCACCCACATGACGAAGCTGGATAACAGCCCAGTGGAGCCCTGTGCAGGCGATGTGGGCCCAGCTGGAGGAGTTCAGATTCAAGAGCCGGCGCAACTGGGCACGTTGAAAGGGTGGGGGTTTAGGGTTTACCTTAACCCTCAAGAACCCAACTTTTTAAGGACTTATATATAGAAACTATAATAAGGATCCCTAAAAAGGTAGGTTCTTTGGGGTCTAGGTAGGGTTTAGGGTTTAGGGTGGTCGGGGGGCGATTGTACTAGTATGGCTAGGTTTGAGAAGGGCCTCTGAAGACTCCAAGCCAAAACAGCCTACCGTGTGTATGACTTCCTCTATTACTCTCTTGTATCATAGCGATGGGCCGGTAGGACATGTAGTTGTGTTGGTCCTTATTTCAGATTAAGCGAGTGGCCGAAGTAGTTCCATCAAGCATGCATTGTAGACCGCGGCCGGCATGTTCATAGTACTTCGGAGGGATTTTTTTAATCATGATCTGAACTGACCTGGGTATGGACTGCTACTGCTACCATCACCACCTGTCGCGAGGCGTGGGGTCGAAGGAGGAAGACTACTGCCCCAGCTGCTGCTGTCATATGACTATGATGGCGGCGACTGCTATCACTGCTTGTGACTTGTGCCCCTGTCACTTTTCCTGTTCCCCTCCCTCATGCCGCCAAAAGCACTGCTGAGATGTGCATTGCTGGAGTCTGTGCGGATGCTGGGGATACTACAATGCCGACGGTTGGTGATCATAACGATGGTGGTGATCATGATGTTGGTGGTGCTAGTCCTGACGCCGATGATGAAGATGGTGATGAAAAACATGATGACGAACATGATGAGGATGATGAGGATGATGATGATGATGACAGCGTCAAGAGAAGTGGCAGTGGCTGCTATGATGTAGTCGTGCTAGTGTGATCGCACATGCCGACAGATGTGAAGCTTTTCCTCATAGCCACAAGCTGCTTTCCTCGGTACTACTTGCTCCTTACGCACTCAATCTATGCCCCAAATTTTAGACCGCAAGCGCGTCACCACAAGCCCAACATTCCTCAACCATGAACCGGATGTCGAGTCGAGCCTGAGGAATGAGTACACGGTGACTCAGGACGTTGCTGTGCGCCGGATGTAGGGCTTCAGGGTTTGAAGGTATGGAGCTTGTACTATAGGCTAGGGTTTATATATAGGGTTTGAGAGTTCAGCGTTTAGGAGTCGGAGCATAAGATTAACATTAAGAAGGTTCAGGCCCCAATCCATCCCACATCCCAGACGGTAGAGTTTTGGGCCTCACGGATTGCAGGGGTCTCAGGTTTAGCATAGAGGTCCTCAGAATTTGCCTGCTGTCGTGACACGGCCTACGGATTCGGGGCTTCAGGGCTCGACTCGCTGGCTTTGAAGTTCGGACTCGGAGCGCCCCGCACCCCACAAGCTTGATATCCTTTACAGTTCTTACAGTCTAGGTAGCTGTTACTATGAGGCTGGATAAAATGATGGTACAGTACAAGAGCTCTAAACTTGACACCCTCAATACCTGACCTCTGAACCTCAAACCCCACCCCCTTACCCTTCACCTGCAGCAAAACTTGAACTCATCCCTGCAACCCCTATCCGAGCTTCTGTCGTTTTGTCAAGTACGGCTTACCTGGTTTACCCATAGGCTCCATTGTAGTTCTTGTTGGGGGAGACCCTATTATAGGACCCTAAATTAGGCCCTAAATACAAACCACAAAAAGGAACTACTATGGAACCTATGGGTAGGTCCGAACCTCACGCAAGGTTTAGGGTTTAGGGTTTAGAGCTGCTGGTCGGAGGACTCCATTCTCCGCTATGGCGGCCCCACAGCGCCCACGGTGCCGTGGCCCGAGGACGCCCTTGGTGCTAACAACATGTGGGAGCTTCCGAAAATTAGGGGTACCTTACTTTGGGGTCCTTATAAGAAGGATCCTAGTATATAGGGTACTATATTAGGGCCCCCTTTTTTCGGAAA